ATGTCATAAAGGCTTAGTCATGTCTCTTGACCAAGCAATGAGCTGGTGCCCTGACAGACAGCAGCTTGACAGTGATGGGTACAGGCTCTGGCAGTGGCAAAGTCAGGTCGATGGTGCCTTCCCAGTCCATTGCCATCAGCGTGGCTGCTTCAATGCCATTGATTGTGTCCTCCACATCCAGCAAATCGTTGGCATCAAGTGTAACCACTCTGCTACCCCAGTGTGGACACTTAGGGTTGCTCAGCTTCACATCCTCCACTGTCCTGGGCCCAGGTTCAGCATTCTTCAGGTGTACGGGAGCCAGGGATCCATCGTTTACAGCCAGTTGTCTCCTCTGGGATGAGCTTCGGGGAGTAGGCATCACAAAGTTACCAGTCAGAGGTGATGACAGTGGGAGGAGTGGGGACAGAGTCTGCACCAGGGGATGCTTTGATCCTTGCTTATGGTGTCAAACCACAACAGGCAGCACCCTGCCCAGTTCTTTGACTACCTGGGGCCCATCCTCATTCACTCTGCCCAGCAGGCAGATCAATGACTCATCCTTTCTGACCTGCACCAGACCCTCCCTTCCCTGACAGATCCATGTCCCCTGCTGTGATTCAAAGAACTTTGCATAGGTGACATTCTCAAACTTCATCCCAAGGTCAGAGCTCAGCTCCAAGCCCACATGACTTGGCCATTGGCTCAACCTTGTCCACAGCTTCCCTGCAGCAGGAGACGCTTGCAGGGAGAACCAGTGGACCTGCATCTTAAGTGGGAGTTAGAGAAAAGTCATTGTGTTAGTAGTTAGCTGCTTACCAAGGTGAACACAATCAGTCCAAACACCATCTCTAGCATCTTCTCCATCTCCATTGCACACCATCAGCATTCCAGAGTAGCTGCCCATCTGCCATCCATTTCATGGTACAGCCCATGTGGGGATGGACCATGGAAGGCTTGTGTTGATGGTCCAGCCATTGTGCTGACTTTAACATTCTGCTCAAATGCCACAGTGTGCCCCCCCCTTTCAACCTGCTTGCCCTTCCCTTTTCCTCCTGCTGTCCCACCCAGAGCCATGGCCTGTCCTGCCTGCCCCCAGGCTGACTGATCTGCCATCCCATCCCTCTGCCCAACCTCCAACACTTCATCTTCCATCCCTTCCCTATCTCCTCCATTCTCCCCATCCTCCCATTCATCCAACCCATCGACTTCTCTTGCTTCCCCACCTCCTTTGGTCTTTTCTGCTTTAGGCTTGTGGACAGGGCAGCCTGCTGCACTGTGACCAAACTCTTTGGACTTTCTCTTGTCCCTGCAGCACTTGGCACACCATCTCTTGTGGCAAGCTTGGCAACCCGGTCTCTTGCAGAGAGGACACTTGGGTCCTCCCTTTCAGGGACCATTCGCCAGTTGACTCAAGCCTACTGGGCTTGAACTCCATTGTGCCTGGGCTTTGTCAACCATGTGCTGGAGTTTGACAATGTTATCTGGGTGCAGCCTCTGGGTATGAAATCAGAAGCTCTTCAGGTTATGTTTCCTACACTGCATGAACAATGTCAGTGTAGTTCAAACTACAGGGTGCAGAACTTACAAGGGTGTATACAACCCCATACTTCTCTGCCTTCCCCCCCTTTCTGTCCAAATGCACTAGAGGCACCAGTGCTTCAGTACATCAAGGTTCTGAACACTGGATTGTGGCCCCAATGTGCTTCACCTTCTTCCCTTCTGGCAGTTGGGAATTCCCAAGCTTGATGACATCCCACATGAGTGATTGGGTGATGAGAGATGTAGGCATCTTGACAAAGTGGAAAACTGGGGCAGGGGGTGGGGGGAAAGGGGCACACGGTCATGGATCATTTCTCAGGTGATGGGGGGAAAGGTGCAAAACTACATGATGCCAGTATTTATTTAACAGCACGGAAATTTTTGCATGTACCAACACATGGGAATGCAGATCTCCTGGCAATCCCAGCAAACTGCTAGGTCAATCATGATTGGCCTAACAGTTCCCAAATTGGGAAACATCATTCACCTATTCATGCAAGTCCAGTTGTCCATCAATGTTGATGGGCAAGTCATCTGTGCTCTGCATTGTAAGGTGTGCCATCCCTTGTATTGTACAGAACTATCTACAGAATTACAAGTTATGTGTGGTGGATATTAGGCTACTGTCAGAAATCAGCCCATGAGACACCAAATAGTTGTGTGACATTGCTCACCCATTAAGTCTATCTAACCCAATCAGTACACACCTACATAATTGACATACCAAGATGGGAAGAGGAAAGATCACAGTCATACAACAGATGCATAAAGCAACTACTAAACATGAGGAGAGAAAGCAGCAAATGAAACAAGGACCATTAAGAGAGGAGCAGTGACCTTCCCCTCAGTTTTTTAAGTGCTGGGGCATCCAGCACAGACTCCAAATGCTGCAGCAGCCATTTGTGCCATTTTGCCATGTCAGCTGTTATCATGGTTGAATGGGTGTAGCCTTGGGCAATCATGAAAGTGTGCATGGCAATGAACAGACTGCAATCACTTCCATTGGTCTGCAATGGAACCTGACCTGCTGTTAGACTCCAGGTCTCCAATGACCATCCCATCAAGCTCACCTTGGCATTACACCCTTTCCATCCTTCCCAACCAGGGAATGGCTCGCTTTTCTCTTCAGCAACCTCCCAGATCTGCTCCACCACATGTTGTGTGCTCTATGTATCCAGTGAGCTGAATGCAATATGGACTATCAATGACAAAAACATACCATGATATGATCACACCAGCTGCCCATCCTCAATGAATCATACATGGTGATGTACTTGCAAAGCCAGTCAACATGAATAAGGATCCAATGGTTGTTGTTGATATATGTTGGGAACAACCATTGTGTCCTCACTTGAGCTGTCATGTACTCAGACACCACACTACTGACCTGGTTTGCCACCCACTTCACACCCCAGTTGTCAATGGCATATGCTTCCCCGTTTGCGTAAGCCTTCTCCACCTGCTCAAGCTGAGGTCCCAGTTGTAAACTGAATGCATACACCTCTTCATCTGGCTTGGAATGCAAGTCATTATAGCAGTTTGCATTTGGCCACCAAGCAGCAAACAGTCAACATAGCTGGGACAACAGGAATCCATTCAGCCACTGGTAGTGTTTTGCCAGAATGGCAATGTCCGACTTCTCAATCTCAATCTGGAACACTTTCATGATCCAGATTTTGCTGTTGGGCAATGGCTTTCGACGTCCTGTGGTGTAGGGAAGCTGGGGATGCCATGAGTCTCCCCTGCCCAACTGCTGGGCTGTTCCCTTCTCGAACTCCAAGGATGCTGCAGCCTGATTGGTGACGGACAATTCTACAACAGGAGCTGGGGGGGAGAAGGTCTTGGGAGCAGGCATTTGCATGGGCACCAGTGGCTCAGGCATTGGCGCTCAACAAGGCAAAGGAGGATCAACATAATTGGACAGTTCACTCCAACCTCACTTGACCACTGGGACAGTGGGTGGTGGTGTCAAATACCTGCGCTCATATATGTTGTTGTCTTTGTCTTCAGCATTCCCCATATCGACATCTTCAACCACAGCCTGTTCTTCTTCGGCAAATTGTGGAGGTCCAAGGTCAATATCTGCCAAAAGTGGCAGATGGTCCAAGGCAGGGGGGGTCTGTGACAGGATGGATGGGCACTGCATGCTCCATCTTGATGATGTTATGAGCATGGGTAGCACCAAAGTTGTCCTGCTTATCAGCAGCATGCTGGGAAGTCTGCAAGTCACCGGTTTCATGCTTGCGGCCTGTTGATCTACAATGGGCAGGGTACATGTGATGTTCTTCCTCACATGATCTGGGTGAGTGTGAACAAGACTCATGACTGCTTCAAGAGGGGGAGTGGTGAGAATGCCAAGGTGAGCAAGGGCAGCAATAATGACCAGGAGAACAAGAGCAAGGACAACAGTATCCACTAGAAGACTGAGGACGACGGTAACAACCAGAAGACTGAGAGCAAGAATGGCAGGAATGATAACAGCCAGGAGAGCAAGAGCAAGAGCAATAACAACATTGACTAGGTGAGTGAGAGCAATCACAAGGTTGACTAGGGGAGCGAGAGTGATAACGAGGTCAACTGGATCAGCAGTCCCACTCTTCATGCTCATAGTGATCCATTTCATGCTGGTAATACTGGGATGTGAGTGAAGGGGACATGTGCCTAGGGTGTGCAGATTTGTGTGTGTGCCAGCAGGGTGGAGACTTGGCTTGAGGATAGCAGGCCATGGAAGGTGGTCTAGCAGGCATTTCCCAATCACAGTCATGGCCTTGCAAGGATGTAATATTAGAGGGTGGCTGAGGATGGTGTGGCAAACGTGAGGAATGACCTGGAGCACTGAGCCTGTCAAGGGGGGTTGCCATTTGCTCATTTTCCAGAAGCTGCGGTAATTCATCGAATGTACCAACCAGCTGCATTGCATGAGAGATGTTCAAGCGAAGATCTCCTGCATCAACCTGGAACTGTTGATTCACCAGGTGCTGCATGAACAAGCCATCAAGGAATGTTGGGAAATGGAATTCTTTGAGGTCGCTGGAGATGCTGGGGATGGATTTTGGGTGGAAGAATGACATGCTGTAATCCCAATGATCCAATGCTGGCTCTCTTCTCCATTGAGCCATGGGCAAAGTTTGTTCCCAGGCAATCACTTTGCTTGGAAGGCAACTGCTTGTCCAATTGCCAAGCCCGTAAGGCATTATGACCTGATCCAACAGGGCAAACAGAGACTTGTAGCACTGGAGGTTATGCACAAGGTTTGCACACAATCAGTATCACTGGTAAATCTCTGGGAGAGTGCAATTTTCCTGCTTGGGCACCAATGCCCCCTGAGCAAGCCAACATCCTGTGATGGGTGAGTAATGACAATCAAGTTTGTAACAGTGAAAATACTCACCCCTGTGAAAACACCACTCTTGAAGATACAGCTGCCAACAAAACAGGAATTGAATCCAGGCAAAGCACAAACCAATTGACACTTGAATGTGGTTATCGAATTCGGCCTGCCTTGCCTTCTGCTCATTGGTGGTAGCTGCACACCCATGGAACAATGTGTTGAGGGCAATGTGTGGACCCAAACACTGTCAAACCAGGTTCTCCACACCATCACCTAAACCTCCAGGGCAATTGTAGCCAGACAGCCATGGGATGGGATCAAATGACAAGGCTTCCATCACAGCATCTGTACCGGGAGGGAGCCAACAATGGTTGCACTCCCAGGGGTGCTGATTTGTAGACAGCATGTACTGCCTGTGCTTTTTGTCCATGGTACACATGGCAAAGCATTATCTACCCAGATGGAGATGGGGGAGGGATCAGTGGGAGTGCAAGGGGTGGAAGTGGGATCAGTGGATGTTTCATGGGTGTGGGAGGGAGTAGTGGAAGTGAACGGGATGAGCACTGTGCAAGCAGTTTCTCAGTCTTGACCCACAGCTAGCATACACAGGGGGGGGGGAGTGTGTTTCAACAGGATGAGGACTGGGCAAACAGTGCCTTGATATCTTGACCTGTTGCTCGAAGGAAGCATGAGGCTGAGAACAGGTACTCATGCTTCACAAACACTAACATGCATGCAAACACTGCTCAGAGGAAGTGCGAGGCTGAGCACAGGTACTTGCACTTCACAAACACTATCAAAAGGGGCACTTGAGGGAGAGGGCGAGTTTGAGTTTGATGTGCAAGGAGGTGCCATCTTGCGTGCAAGCCCACTGAGTGAAGCAACCTGTAAGGTATTGCTTCACTTACTTGCTGAACCTCTCTGAGAGAGGCCTGAGCAAGAAGGGGGCTGAGAGGAAGGGAGGGGAGAAGGCGTCGAGGAGACCAGTGAGGACAGCAAGGAGGGTGGGGAGGATGATGAGGAAGGGGACAACAATGACTATGGTGGTGGTGGTGGTGGTGGTCAGGAGGAGAGAAGCAGTGGTGGGAATTTTTGGGTGCACATGGGAGCAAGTGGGGATGGGGCTGTGTGTTGTCATGGCACTGCATCACATGATTAAGCAGAAGCCAGGATGACGCATCCCCAAACAAATATTGGCACATGATTGTGTTGCATGGTGTGCATGTGACAGTGCTTATGTAATTAAATAGTGCCACCTGTGGTAGTCTTGGCAACCCCTTTTCAGGAGATGTCACATGACCATCTGCTTCTGGTGAATGCAGATGGGGGATGCATCATCCATCTTCCATGAAGTCCTTTTTTCTTCTGCACCACCACCACCACTTCTCTCCTCCCAACCACCACCACCACCACCACTGTCATCATCAACCCCCTCCTCATCATCCTTGCCCCCCTCATCGCTGTCCTCACCAGTCTCCTCAACACCTTCTCCCCTCCCCTCCCCTCCTCTCAGCCCCCTTCTTGCTCGGGCCTCTCTCAGAGAGGTTCAGTGAGTAAGTGAAGCAATACCTTATGGGTTGCTTCACTCGGTGGGCTTGCACGCAATACAGTGCCTCCTTGCACATCAAACTTGAACTTGCCCTCTCCCTCAAGTGCCCCTTTTGATAGTGTTTGTGAAGCACAAGTACCTGTGCTCAGCCTCATGCTTCCTACCAGCAATGGGCCAAGACTGAGTAACTGCTCACACAGTGCTTGTCCTGTCTAAATGGTCTGCCTACCCCTACATCCTCTTGCAATGGGCTGAGACGAGTAACTGTTCCCTCAGTGCTTGTCCCATCCATTCCCACTACTCCCTCCCACACCCATTAAATGCCCACCCCTCCCTCTTTCATCAAACCCTCCTCCATCCCCCTTTCAGTGTCCGAAATCCACAAGCATCATGCCATTCACCACTGCTGTCACTGGCTTCTGAGATCTGGCAAAGCAATTTGGCACTGTTCTGGGTGAGAAGGGTAAGGAGAGGATGTTAGATGTTGAAGATGAAGAAGGTATGCACCACTATGTCTAGCCTTGTATCTATACTAACTGTTTGCATAGTTATTGGTCCCTCCATGCACATGCTGCTCACCAGGATGCAAGCTGAGGACACAGAAGAAGGGAATGCAGGTGTGTAACAGAATTTATTCCAAACAGAGCTATGAACTGGCTGGTCAAACCAGGTTTGACCACTAGACATTCCCCCCGCATGGTAGACAAACTGCTCACATTGCAGCTGTGTTTGGCATTGGGTGGCAAGCCCACACTCCTTCAGGCATGGAAAGATGGCTTCTGCAGTGCTCTGTTGTCTGTCGAGATGGTCAGGCTTGCTCATGTCATTGTCCTACCACTGCTTCTTGAGGAACAGAAATGCAGACAGCATGTGCTGGACCTACATTGCACCTCAATGAGAGGGGAATCTTTAGCCTGGGATGTGCACAAAATCCCGTGGGATGCCAAGCACCATAACACAGAGCTACACAGTTGCTCCCAAGATGATTGGGCAGTATATGCCCAGTGATACAACCCCCTCCACCTCCATCAACCTTACTGCAAAGGACCACTGGCATCTCCCCTGAGCACCAAAGTGCAGTGGGTGGTGCTGATCCACAAGGCATTCTCCATGATGGATCCCACCCCAGGCTGTGCCATCCTTGGACTGGTCAACCCAAGGTGGGTGGCCCACCTGAAAAGACTGCACAAGTGGGCATTTGCTGTGGCTTGTTGCAATCTCTCCACTGCCCCTTCTGCCAAACTGCAGCAAATGTATGTGCACCTTGACGCTGCCTGGTGCATGCAGATTGAGTGGGATCTGTTCCAGCACCCAATGAGCTTTGAGGAAGCAGAGCAAGTCTGGTTGGTTGCTCAATGCAAGGTCTGCAACCTCCTCAGTATATGCAATTATATCAACTCATCTTACCTCTGGCAATACCCTCTGTCTTTGAAGAATTGGTCCTTTACCTGCAACTTTGTTGGTGTGCTTGCAGATACTATCCCCCATGCCAATCACAATCAACTTTTTCAAGACAGGGTGCCACTGCTGGAGCCAGATTCCCTCTGGAGGAAGAACAAGTGTCTCATGGATGACTGGATTTGGGAATACTTGGCAGAGTTGTTGGCATCTGCCTCGAACACCAAACACTGACAGCATGCGGGATCAGCAGATCAGGCTCAAACTGCCAATGCACATACATGTCAACACACTAAGGCATCCACTCAACCAAACTCTCGCAGGCATAAGGCAGCGAAGGCATGACTTGCAGAAGCCAGCAAGCCATCCTCAACTCCTGATGTCAATACAGAGCCTGTGGCAAGCCAGTTCACAGATTGGCAGGTGGCCCACACATGTGTCAGAGTGCTGAGGGCAAATGCAGCACTTGGACCAAGTGCAGCCTTCCCTGTGGCATGAGCAAGTTCCTCCCAGCCTAACACAATGCCAGCCACAGCATTCCACCACTATCCAGGATATGCACCTGGTGCTGAGTCACTTCCCATCCTGTCCAAGCTAGGGCCCAACACAATGACTGAGTGGATGGCCACCACCTCTCTGCCTTCTGAGAAGCTGCTTATGGCTCCGGACTTGCATGCCAACCCGGCTTTCATTGAGAAGTACACTGAGCCATACCAGACCATGGTGAAGGAGCAGAAGACATCTGCCAGTCTTCCACGTGAACTGGAGGAGGTCCCTCTACCCATCTTGGGGAGTCTCGCCAAGCAGTTGGCTACAGCACAGTGCCCTGCAGATGTGGTTGGCAAGAGCAGCATTTTGCTGGGCAAACATGCTGATGACTTTGACATGCTGGATCTTGGAGATTTGGATATTGCTGATGGGAATCAAGCTGAAGACCAGCAGAAGGCCAAGGAGAAGATGAAGAGGGAGATGGAGAAGCTGGAGAAGCAGAGGGCAAAAGAGCAAGCAATGTGGGATGCTGCTCTGGCAATGGGCAAGGGGGGTGTATGCATGCAGACTAGCACAGGCACACCATTCTATGTTTGAGCCCCTTTGCCAGTGGTCTTTCATGAGTACCCTCCCCATATCTCTGAAGAAGCGTTGTCTCCAGCTGCAGAATCCCTGAGCAGTCTACCACACCTGGACCTGCTGAGTTGATCTCTGCAAGTCCTCCTTCCTCACCCCCTCAAATGCCTGGTCCTCCTGCTGCTTCATGGAGCTGGAAGGAGTGGAAAGCTCATAGGAAGTCCCAGAAGGAAGCATGAGATGGGGGGAGCATGAGGCCAAAGAAGCTGAAGTGGAACTTCCACACAAATGAATGACCCATACATATATAATTTCTTAATGCAAACTGTGCTTGCCATCACTGTTATCTTATCACCACGGTTCATCTCTGTGCTCATGGAATACTGGTAGCTGTACAGTATATAATACAAGTAATCCAATTAGTCATACAGAGTCTACAGTGCACTGGCAGGCTTCAAGTGAGGAGCAAAACCTCGACACTCCAGGCCCTCTACAATTGCCTCATTCCTTGCCTTGATCACCTCATCAAGGAAGAACTTGAATTGAATGGCACTCATCTCTTGCAACTGTTAGGGCAACACAGGCTGACTAAGTCTGCTCACCTAAGAGTGCCAAGAGTCTAAGCAGGCAACAAGGAAGTGGAGTAGACCTGATGACTAAGACCTATCTACAGTATAGGTACCTGTGGATGATCCTAAGAGACCAAGTCTG